ACATCTGAGCCGACACTTGAAGTCTGAAGTCTGAAGACCATCAATCCAAGGTCCGGGAGAAGAGCCTGCCGCGCTTTGCGGGCCAAAGCAGGTGTCTGGATTTCGGTCTAGGTGCAATGGCAAGCTAAGGAGTGACATCTAGTTTACATTTTAAAAGTCATCATTCTGGCTGCAGTGGGGGAATGAATTACAGGGGGACAGAGCAGAAGCAGGAAGATAAATTAGGGGACAGGCTGTGGATTAGCCCAGGGCGATCACAGTGGGGACGGGGAAGGTAAGTGGACATAGAGCCTAGAGGACTGGGTAACGATGGGATGGGGTGAGTGGTGAGAGAAAGCCGGTCATCTGGTACTAAGTCCTACATCTCTCACTTGAGCAGTTGGGTTGATGGTGGTACCTTTTACTGAAAACAGGAGGAAGAACAGGTTTGGGGAAGAAAATCGAGAGTTCTGTTTTGGCTATAAGTTTCAGATGCGTATTAGATATGGAGAGGAGGGGAGAGATCAGGGCTAGAGATACAGATTTGGTATCTGAATATATAACATATATATGATATTTAAAGCCATGGGACAGACAAAACCACACAGGGAGAAGGTGTAGAGATGGAGATGAGGAGAAGGCTGACCGAGAGTCTGGTGGAGAAATAGGAGAAACTGGCAAAGGAGACTGTGGCAAAACCAGTGGAGGAGGAAACTGGAAGTGGTGTCCCGGAAACCAAGAGAAGAGAGCGAGCTGCTTTTAACTAACTGGGTCAAAAGCAGCTGAGAGATCAAGGAGGAAGAAAATGGAAAGAACGAGTAGCTAGAAGGGAACTTGGGGTCGAGGAGGGGTATGCATCCCTAAACACTATAATTTAATTCTACCTTTTTGGGGGACATGTCTTTTAAATCTCTTTTAATCCACACATTACCAAGGAGGGGCTCTTTTCTAAGACGGGCGATACAGAGCAAATCTGCATGTCGGTGGAGATGATCTGCCAGGGAAAAAGGAAGGAGGTGACAGCAGAGGGAATGTGGGTCAGAGAGCAAGCAGAAGAGGTGGCCTGTGATAGGAGCAGGGACACTGTCGTAATGGGAGAGAGAGGAGAAGGTGAGCACTGGGTCAGGCAGGCTGGGATATTTGGAGGTGGGAAGATGGAGTTCTCAATGAAAAAGGAGGTGAGGCCGTCCCCTGGCTCCTCCACCACTGACACCCAGTGCAGGGGAAGCAGTCAGCAGACCCCCCAAGCCTCTTCATGTCCTATTGTCATCGGACTCCCCGTGAGAATTCCACCTTCCCAGTAGCCCTCTCGGGGGAAGGATGTCATCCCCCTCCACACACACACACACACACACACACACACACACACACACACACACACACTCTCCTTCCCCTCCTCCTTCCAAACCATTCATTTTTCTCCTCAATACAAACAAACACAAACAAAATCCCAGTACTTGACATAGTATTTGGCACACCACAGATGTTCAATCAATATTTGTTTTTAAAAAACAAACAAATCCTGCCCTTTTAAGGTTAGTCTGTTCAGCTATATCACACGCTCTTCTTGGTGACGGTCTTCTCTACCCTGACGGTTGCCATCATCCTGGGGGCTCCACCTTGGTCTTGCAATTTGGTGTCCTCAAACTTAGAAAAATTCATCTCTGATTCCCTCCAGTCACCACTGTTAGGACCACATCTAAGACCTGTCAGATCTGCCCTCCCTTGCTTTTGGAGGAGTTTCAGTGGAAGCTGAAAACTGTATTCTCTCCCTTAACTTCCATTCTACGGATCATGTGAAATAGTTCCCCCTACTGGACAATTGTCAGTTGTCATGCTGTGGTGGCTGTGTGTTGCTGTGACGCTGAAAGCTATGCCATTGGTATTTCAAATACCACCAGGGTCACCCATGGTTGACAGGTTTCAGTGGAGCTTCCAGACTAAGACAGACAAGGAAGAAGGACCTGGCCACCCACTTCTGAAAACATTGGCCATGAAAACCCTGTGAATAGCAGCAGAGCATTGTCTGATATAGTACCAGAAGGTGAGAGGATGGCGCAAAAAGACTGGGTAGGATTTCGCCCTGCTGTACACAGGGTCACTAGGAGTTGGAATTGACTTGACAGCACTAACAACAAAGTGGACAATCACTACATATGCATGCTCTATAGTCTCAGTTACATGAAGACAGTTTTGAAGTGCCAGTAAAAAAGAATCATTCATTCATTCAACAAACATTTCTTGAGCACCTGTTATGAGTCTGGCATATCTGAAATTATTTTGAGGTGCACAGTTTCACCATTATCACACAAGCAGACATCAAACCAAACAAAGGCAGTGACACAGCTTCATGCTCCTGCTGCCTCTGCCGGTGTTCGTTGTTACATAATAAATGCAGAGGGACTCTGAACTGGGCCAACATGGGAAGAAGCTGGGCCAGTGCCAACTCTGGAGGAGTTCACCAGCATAACTGAAGCTCAGCCACGTTTTCATAAATTTATTCAGCAAACTTCTACTGAGCACCCATAGATGAAGCAGACCCAGTCCCTGCCCTGAAGTTGCTCAGAGGCCTGGAGGAGAAAGGCGTACAGGCAAGTATCACTAACACGATGTGTGTGCAGTGCTCCCTCCCCCCGCCACAAGCACGGACCCAGGACCTAGCACACTCGAGGGACTGTGCTCAGGATATAAGGACAAAAACCACGAAAGCCGCACTGAAACTGTGCACAGCGTATGTAAAGGGCAGTTACTATTCAGGAGATAACTGCTCCAGGGGAGGGAGGTACAGAGGGGAGGAGGGCGCAAGGTGGTACAAAGGAAGGAGGGCTGACATTTGGGCAGGGGTTGACGGCAGGTCGGGGAAGGCCTCAGAGAAGACATGCGTAAGCTGAGAAGTGACGGATGAGAAGAAGTCGTCATGTTTGCCATGTGGCGGCGGGGTGGAGGGCGGGAGGTCTCATGCCACCCAATCTAGTCTCCTGGGGGTGGTTTGATTATGCTTCCTAACATGATCCCACTGCCAGGCCACTCCCTTGTTCCAGTGCCAGTGACAGCTCTCTGCTGCTAGGTCTGACCTTTACTCAGGCCCCTCCGCCCGCCCACCCCCTCACTGGCAACTCCTCCCCAGCTAGGGGACTCTGCTCCAGCTGGGAATCCATTTCAACATAGCATTACTTCTCACCACACAAGGTCCACACACCCACGCATACCTGCAGGGGTCAAACAAATACAAAATTGACAAAGCTGCTGAAGGAAAAATACGACTGACATTCAATTTCAATGCTGCCTCCAAAAAATAATCGAGATTGGAAGGGAGCCTGCAGACCTTTGTTGATCTTCCCCAGGGTCTCACTTGCATACCTAAACCCCTGTGCCTGCCTGCTCCTTCTGCCCCTCCCAGACTTCCAGGACCTGGGGCTCAGCCTGTCATTCTGGATACAGGAGTCCCGATACGTACTGATGCCCAGACCTTTCCTGCTTAAAGGGCCTCTCTGTCCTGGCCTCCTCAGCCCTGCCCACTCCCCCTTCCATAAGCCATCTCATTCTCTACACCCAGGCCATTCCCAGTCCTGTTCATTCTCTCTTCCTGGGGCCTCAGTGTCCAGCTAGATCAGCTCATTCCCATTTTGTTATCCGAACCACCTGCAAGGCCTCCCAACTGGCTTCCAGCCTCAGGTCTCCCTGTGGCTCTGGCCCACCATCTTCCCGAGGCAGTGCTTTCCCTCTCTCATGCCCCTTTCACTGTTCACTTTTCAATGGCTCCGTGCTGCCCACTGAGACAGTGCCACTACGCCATCTGATATTCAGGGTGCTCTGCAATCTGGTCCTGGCCTCCCTTTCTAGGTCTGCCTGGGCCGAGACCTCTGCAAACGTCCATCAAGTGATCTGCCTGTCACTCCCCATACACATCTTGTACTTCCCTATTTCTACGCCTTCCTTTATTCCATTCCCCTTTCCAGAATGCCCTCCTCTGCTCCTTTCTACCTTCCCACATCCTTCCCATTCTCCAAGGCTCAGCTCGACACCACCTTCTCAGTGAACCCTTCCTTGATCTCTCCTGTAGAAAACAGAATCTCCCTTCTCTGATCCACTATAGGAACAGGGAAGGAAATAACATCCTGTAAACATCTGTCACGTGCTACACGTTAAAAGCATATGCTTTGGAGTCAGACAGATCTGGTTTGAATCCAGTTAGCTGTGTAATCTTGGGAAGCATACTTAATCTCTCTGTGCTTCAATGCTTACGTTCGAAAAACATGAAAATACCTACTCCCATCATTCATTCATTTGAACATTCAAATACCTAATATGTGCCAGGCTCTGTACTCTTGTGGCTATTTTGAGAATTAAATGAAATGATGCATGGAAAGTGGCTGGCACATAGGGGTACTCAATAAATGAAAACTTTTTCTTTTTTTTAAGATTGGCACCTGAGCTAACAACTGTTGCCTTTTTTTTTTTTCTGCTTTATCTCCCCAAATTCCCCCGGTACATAGTTGTATATCTTAGTTGCATGTCCTTCTAGTTGTGTCATGTGGGATGCCGTGTCAACGTGGCCTGACGAGCAGTGCCATGTCTGCATCCAGGACCGGAACCGGCGAAACCCTGGGCTACTGCAGCAGAGTGTGCAGACTTAACCGCTCGGCCATGGGGCCAGCCCCTGAAAACTTTTTAATACTACCACTATCCAATTTAGTTTCTTAGAAAAAGGACAGTCCTCAGTGATTTCTGTTTAGAGGGGAAGCACCACAGAAGATTGGGAACCAGAGCCAGCTTTGGACCCAGGCAGATTCTAACAACTATTAAAGCACCATCTGGCTGATTCGGGGCACAGAATGTGACTGTCATTTTCTGAATAACTTGCCCGTCAATACCAATCCAGCACCTTCCATCCGTCAAGGCTAACCAGGACACTCAGCAACAAGGCTCTTTTTGAACAGGAGAAAACTTTTAAGAGCTAGTCTGCCTAGCTCTCACTGCCACCTTCTGCAACCTGGAGCAGACCCAGCCACCTCCCCTACCTTCATACTGGACTTCCAGGTGCATCGTGCGTAGTACCTTCAGCACGCAGTCCACGATGCTGGGGTGTGTGGCTCCAATGATTGACTGACAAGACAAACAACAGGACAAGGCGGTTACTCTCTAGAGCTTGTCCACCTGGAACAAATGAAAAACAGACTTCCAAAGAGGTAGGCAGCCTGGCTGAATGGGGAGAGGGAGGGCCGTGGGGAGTCACTGGGCCTTGGCCTGGCACCAGAGAGGTAAATTTCCTCTCAAGAGGAGGGGCAGAGATGGGCAGCCAAGAATTAGACTGAGCGTCTGGTGAAGTTGCCATTGAACGCTCTAGCTCAGGAGGCATGCAGTCAAGGCTAGCCGGCCACCTGCTAGAGGTGCAGGGACGAGTCAGCTGCCTTGCCAGGGGGAGGGCGGGCATAGGCCGGGGAGCGCATAACTCATCCAAGATCCTAAATCTTCTCTCCCTCAGGAACCTCTCCCAATTGGGCAATCAATCCTCTCTTCTACATCTTCAACCTTTGCCCACGTATTGGTTCCATCCTTTAGCTCTGAACATCCTCAAACTCACCCAGATTGAACAACATTGTCCTTCAACTCTGTCTTCTCTCACTGATGCTCGTTCTTTCCTTTACATCTAACCTTCGCAGGGGAAGCCACTTCTTCAGCTTCCATGCATCCTTTGACAGGCTGCTGCAATTTAATTTTTCCTGCCATAGGATGGTCCCCTAATTCACCAAAACTTTTCCTGCTGGGACCATCTTTTGGTTCTAGTGGTACCTAATCTCTCTGTTGTATTTGACCCAGTTGATCATGTCCTCCTTATTGAAACTCTTTTCCCTTCATTTGCACAGCCCTGTCTTTTTCCTGTTTTCCTTTTCTGGCTTTCATTGCTCTTTTTCAAAGAGCCAGGGTGGTTTATGGCAAGAATAAGGACTTTGGAGTTAGAGAGAGTTGGATTTAAATGCCCACTTAGTAAAGACCTCCTCCTTAGTGTGTGGCCTTTAATAAGTCATTGAACACCCCCTAAGACTCAGTTCCATCATCTTTAAAATGGGGGTAATAATATCTGCCTCCATCGGCTATTGTGAAGGCTAAAAGAAATAGCGTAAGTAAGCCCCTAACACAATGCCTGGCACGTAGGGGTCACTTAATAAATGGAAACTGAAAATAATAATGATAATTAGACTGTTTTGCTGGACCTTCTTCCTCAGCTCATCTCTTAAATGTTGGCAGTGTTCTCTCTCTTCTTACCTGGCACATTCTACCTGGGTGATCTTATTTACTTCCATTGTTTCCATTGCCACTTCTCTGCTCACAAAATCCGAACTGCCATCCTCATCTCGGGTGTTTCTCTGGAGCTTCAGATTTTTGTTTTCTACTGTCTAATGGACATCTCCACTAGATGTCCTGAACAGCAATTCCTCAACTGAACCAGGAATTGGAATTACTTGGGGAGCTTAAAAAGCAAAAGCAGGGCCTGGCCCTGTGGCTGAGTGGTTAAGTTCACATGCTCTGCTTCGGTGGCCCAGGGTTTCCCCAGTTGGGATCCTGGGCGCTGACATGGCACCGCTTGTCAAGCCATGCTGAGGTGGCGTTCCACATGCCACAACTAGAGGGACCCACAACTAAAAATACACAACTATGTACCGTGGGGGGGGGTGGGGGGGGGGGTGGGCGGGGGGGGTGGGCTTTGGGGAGAAAAAGGAAAAATAAAATCTTAAAAAAAAAAAGCATTACCAAAGGCCTCCTGAGAGCTGTCAGATTCTTTGGGAGGGGGGCTCAAGATTCAGCACTTTTTGCACAAGTGACCTATCTATGTCTTCTGCAGCCAGCTTGGCCTGTTCCTAGACAGGCACTTGGGAGCCACCAAGGCTCATCAAGTTTATTGGGTCAAAACCTAACTCTTCCCAGATCAAATTGGTTTTTCCTGCTCTCTCCTGGTGGCACACAGCTCACCCTGCTGTCTGATCTAAGGTTGGGTGCCATCTTTGCCTCCTTTTCTTGTACTACCCCAAATCCCATGCACTCTGTCTCTAAAATGTCTGTCCCATCTGTTTACCTCTATTCCCCCTCCCACAGTTCAGCACTTACCATCTCTCTGATCTCTTAACTGTCCCCCTGCCTCCAGCCCACCCTGGAGCTATTGTCAGGGCTTTTGATGGTTCGTCTCAAAACTACTCTTGGAGCCTCTCCTCCCTCCTTACTAGGCACGGTGTCTTCATGTGGTCACCATGCCCTACATCTGACTTTGCTCGCATTCCAGGGCACTGTCTGAGAGGCAGGCAGAAGCCAACAAGAGAAATGGAGCTTTCCCAAGCACTGGAGATCTGGCCTCTTCACTTACATGCTGTCTACAAATGCACTGTGATTCTTTCCCTATCCAATTGACTCTTTTAATCTTTTCTACAGTCCTTTCATCATCCTTGTTGCTTGTCTCAACCACTTTTAAGTCTGCCAACATCTTTCTGATCCTTAAGTAAACAGGACAAATCACTCTGCTGGGAGACATGAACTCTCTGCCCTGCCTTGGCCTTCTGGAAGTAGCGCTGATTGAACAGCAGACATGCAGTGGGAGGCTGAGCTATGTTTCTCATGCCTGCGTGGAGTGCCGCTGTGGAAGGTAATTGTAAGATTACTGTGTTTGAATCAGAACCACAGGAGCGTGTGCCTGGGCTCACCTGGGCAGTCCTGAGAGTCTGCAGGGACAGCTGCTGAGCTTTCGGGGACGCACAGGGCAGCAAAGCTATTAGACCTTTGTATACTTGATTCTGGTACTTGGGATTACCGTGGACCAAAGAATCCAACAGAACTTGCACTTCTTCCTGGGTCTCTTCTGACTTAGACTTTGCCAAAAATTCTGCTATGGATCGTACACCTGAGCAAAGAAGAGAGGAAATGCTAAATTGGAAGGGACTTATGAAAACAATCCTCACTCCAGATTATATAATATGAGGTAATAGGATTAAAATTGGAAAGCGTGCATTTTTGAATGCTAAATGGTAACTAACATCTGTGTCGCGCTCACCAGTTTACTAAATGTTTTGAGAAATACTACTGCATTTAATCTCAGAAACTTTACCCAGAGGGAGGTGCTAGTCCCACTTAATGGATAAATACACTGAGGCTCAGAGAGGCCATGGGGAGACAGAGGAGAACCATGAGGAAAGTGCAGTGAGGGAAGTGCTTTGAAAAAGGGCTGCATGGGGATGGCATCTCCTTTACATGCCTCCATCAGAGCACTTGAGAGAACATACTGAAATCACTGGATTATCTACCTTTCTCACCACACTGTAAGCTATTTGAGGACAAGGACTGTATTTCATTCATCTTTGTATTCTCAGTACCTTAGCATATACCTAGCTCACACATTCAATGGTTTTATTTCAATTTTATTTCTAGAGTTATTCATAACTCACTTAATTTCACAAAGGACTTTTAGGCAATGGCTCAATAAATCTTTGTTGAAAGGATGCATGAAAGAGGATATATTTAAAATGGAGAAGTATTTCCAAAACCACCATGGAAAGATTTGAGCAAATGATGACTCAGGAAAATCATAAACCTGGGTCTTCTGGTGGTGACATGAACAGGAGCTAATTGAGTCCACTGTACACAATGCTTCCCGTGCAACCAGTTCCATGACGCATTTTCCTACAGCAGTGCGGAGTGCTGCCACCCTAAACCCAGGCCCTAGGAGACACGGGAATTAACATCCTTATCATACACAGTACCCACCATAGCTTTCACAAATGAGCTCCTTGTACTTCCTGCCAGAGTTTGCAACAACCTGAAGTAGCTTGATGGATTCCTTCTTGTCCTCCTCCTTGATCTTCTCCAGCCCAAGTATTTCCAAGAGTGTTAAGACACCTCCAACCTCAAGAAATTCTATAAGGTACCGATTACTGTCCAGAGGGATAGAAGAGTAGAAATAAGCCACTTGTCAAGTTCCTTGGCGCTAACGTTTCTAAGGGCATCTCAAGGACCTTTCCTTACATACTCTGCCTTCCTATGCAGGAAGTGTGCATGGGTAAAGTAACACAATAGCTTGGAAATTTTTTCTTCTAGCAGGAAATGTAAAAGCTAAATACAATGGACGTTTCTTGTGTTTGGCTTTCCAGCATCTGTTCCTCTTCTTCTTGAAATAGTACCTCAGCTGTCCCTTGGGGAATCACCCCCCTGCCACTCACGGGCCATGTGTTTTTGGTGACAGGGCACGTGATCCTTTGGACTGCAGTAATTGCTGTTGTTTTGTTTTTTTTTTTTTGAGGAAGATTAGCCCTAAGCTAATATCTGCTCCCAATCCTCCTGCTTTTGCTGAGGAAGACTGGCCCATCTTCCTCTATATGTGGGATGCCTGCCACAGCATGGCTTGCCAAGAAGTGCATAGGTCTGCACCCGGGATCCGAACCGGCGAACCCCAGGAAACCAAAGCAGAACATGAGAACTTAACTGTTGCACCACTGGGCCGGCCCCAGGACTGCAGTAATTGGTTGGGGCCAGGCATGTTGGGACCTATGTTTGTCCAATGAGGCTCAAAGCCCAGGACTCTCTTGGGAACCCTGGGGAAAGACATGCTCTCTTTTTGGTGTGGCTGAGCTAGAAGGATGCATGTCTGGAGCTTCTGAGGACCACAGCACATGGAGGCCTATGAACACAGAGGAGAAGAGAGCTGAGAAATGGAGAAAAAGAGAGAGGGAGCAACCAGGTACTGATGACATTTTTTGAGCCCCTGGATCCAGTCAGGCTTGAAATAGAGATTTCTACCCTCTGGGCTTTCCAATTAAGTGAGCTAATAAATTTCCCTTTTTCCTGATCTGAGTTGGTTTTCTATAATTCACAACCAAGAAGGTGCTGACTAGTCAAGTGTCAATGGAGAACATGGGATGGAGGGGCAGCTAGAGCAGCACCACATCTGACACCACCCCTGGGCCCATCCCGAGGGCTACTAGGTACCCCCTGATAACTGGAGGCCCTGGTCCCATTTGGTAGGAATGCCAAGGACACCATGAGCCCCATATGCAACTGAGACCCCATAATTTCTCTAGAATAGAACTCACCTGCTTACAGCTGACAAGAAGATGCCAATGGACCTTAAAAGCTTATCTAAACATGAGCCAGTCATATAGCTGTATAATAAGTTAAAGAGTGAATTTCAGGGTGGTTTTCCACAGAGAGACCAGATCCTGTGTCTGATCCCTGACACCACCTATGGCCCAGGATGAACAACAGCTGAACTATGTCCTTCATCTGAGAGGGGCCACCAGGTTGAAGGGGAAGTGGTAACACACACAGGGTAGGGGGAAGAGGGAGTGCTGGCGGGCATGTTCATGGTCCTCCAGGAAGCTTTTCTGGGGTAGTTCGGCCACCTTGGCTCTGACAGGCCCCCTAGAGAGCAAGGAAGTTCTGATGAATAAAAGGTGCATGGAGAAAGCTGGGGGTCAATTTTCCAAGTCTCTCTATGCCATGAACGTTGCATCCTTGGGTCTTAGCCCAGTTCATTACTTTGTGCCTCATTTTTAGACTTCTCTAAAAATAACCAGCTTTATCATTAATTCTCAATTTTGTACTTGCTCAAAGCTTTACACTGGAGGTCACTATCTTTATGAAGAATCGCGTGTCTCCCTAATAAGAACGACAGGAGATGGTGGAAAAATTAAACTCTGATTTAAAACAACCTAAGTATTTAGTGTTATTTTTTAATGTGAGCTTTTGCAAAAACCTTCATTGTAATAAAGCACCCAGAGCACGCATCAGCTGGGATACAAGGTATGAAATCAAGCTACAACAGAAAAGGAACCAGTCAACAATTACTAGGCTCATAACACATCACAGGCTCTTAGAACACTTAAGAAATTAGCTGAAATTATTGCAGCTCATGGAGGATGACTGAGAGCTTCCAAGACTGATAAAGGCTAATGTAATGGGTTGGAGGTAATGGCGCTTTGTTGCAGGGGAGGGTGCGTGAGGCAAATTATCTCTGCTGCACCCTGGTTCCCAGGATGCCAATAGAAGTAGAGACAGATTGGCTCATTAGGAAAGGCTCTTTACTGCAAACACAGTGCTTGCTCTGGAGCCAGGCTCCCCTGCCTGTTGCCACTGTAGCTGGGAGCCAGGCTATCAGCCCACACGGGACTCTCTGTATTCCTACATTGTCCTCCACCCTGCTCCCCCAAAGCCCCAGCCCCCATTCCTGTCTTAGTACCTCCTCCTCTTGTCTTCAGTTACCAGGAAGGCTGACCAACTTTTGTCACCTTCTTTTCTTCTGTCCCAGGTTAGTCTAATTTTCACAGCCACTCACTATACATATTTCTGGTCCGTTATTTCCAGCAATTAGTTCCAGAAGTTTGCCACAGTAGCAGCAGGAGCTAACAAGTACTAAGCATTTATTGTGTGCCATGCACTGTGCTAACTGCTTGGCTTGCATTGTCTCGTTTAATCCTCCCCACACCCAGCAGTGGGTGCTATTACTATCTCCGTTGACTTCATGAGGAAACAATCTCAGACAGCTTAATGACCTGTCCAAGGTCCCCAAGTTAGCTGATGGAACCAGGGTTTGGACCTAGGCAGTCTAACTCCAAGTCAGTGTTCTTACTGTCAGGCTTTCCTGTGACCTTGTGATATAACAGAGAAAACAGACTGGTTGAGGTAACCCCATCTCTCCTCCACAGCCCTCCAGGTATGGTGGATTTTGAAGGCAAACAAATCAATCTAGCATCATTATGTTGGGTTGGAGGGAGTGGGGCTATTTATGCAGACTATCTCCCTGTAGGGTGTTGGAGGTGGAACTGTGGGTCTGCACTGTCCACTGGGTGGGAGACACTGAAGCAGAGTGGATGGTGTATGCGCTTTGGACCAGACAGACCCTGAGTCAAACCTTATCTCTGCCATTCACTAGTAAATTACTCAGCCTTTTCAAGGCTCACCTTTCTTATCTATAAAATGGGATAATACCAATCACTTATTAGGCTTGGTGGTAGGCTCCATTGAGATAATATTTATACATCACATAGCTCAGTGCCTAGAGCATAAAAAGACTCAATAAATGGTAATAATAATTTTGTCATTATAATATATAAATCCTTAGTTTTACTGATCTATTCTGGTAGTTCAAGGTTAAAAAAGGGTTTTGAGGCTTATGTGGAAGGTGACAATTAATTTTGCAAAACATAATGATGCTATATTGATTTGTTTTCCTTCAAAATCCACCATACCTGGTGGGCTGTGGGGGAAGGTGGGGTTACCTCAGCCAGTCTATTTTCTCTGTTGTATTACAAGGTCACAAAAAGTTATGAAACTATGAATAATTTCAGGTGCAGAAATGGAACATATGACTACATATTAAAAGGGTGGTTCATTCATTCATTCAATCAGCATTGGCGGTGTCCACTCACGTTGGGCCCTCTGATTGGCACGTAGGATATGGAGGAGAACGATACCATGAATAAGTACAATGACTGAGTAAGAAAGGAAGTGGGCTGAACGCAGAATTCTGGGAAACACTAACATTTAAGGGATGGGTAGGAAAGATCCCACAATAGTGACCGAGAAATAGCAATGGGAGAAGGTGGAGAAGACAGCTTAAGAAGGGACAGTGGGCAAGCAGGGCCGGGGCTGGGGTGAGGTGAGTGAGGTACTTGCTTTGGGTGAGAAATTTAAGAGGGCACCAAAAAACTCAGTAACCAAATAATATTTCAATGCACTATTTTAAAAATCAAAATTAACACAAAAAAATCCATGATGAATAAAATATTAAAATTTTAAGTAAAGATAGGATCTGACCCTGCCTCACCCACCTCATCCTGTGGTCAAATGGAAAATGTTGTTAAGCAAGATAAGGAAGAAAAAGGTAGTTTAGACTTGGTGACAAAGAGGTTGCTGATAACCTTGGTGAGGTTAGTGTCATGAGTTTTGGGGACGAAGCCAGATTTATAGGTGCTGATGTTTCTCCAAGCATCATCTTTGGACCCCAGGCATCAGAGTCACCCAGGGTGCTTATGAGAAATAAAAGGTCCAGGGATCCTCTCTCAATCTACTAAATCAGAAGCTTTGGGGTGGGGAAATAGACTGGTAATCTGCTTTTTAAACCTCTTTTTTTTTCGGTGGGGAAGATTCGCCCTGAACTAACATCTGTGCCAATATTTCTCTATTTTGTATGTGGGATGCCTCCATAGCACGGCTGATGAGTGGAGTAGGTCTGCACCTGGGACCCAAACCCATGAAAGCAGAATGTGTGGAATTTTAACCACTTGGCCATGGGGCCGCCCCCTAAACCTCTTTTATGCACGCTAATGTCTGAGAACATTGGGTCAATCTAAAGATGTATTCAGTGGTATTCCATTTGGCCTGTGTTCTAGGCCTGAGTCTGATTAATAATTTTATCAATGATTTAAGTGTAAGAAAGAAAGCTGTGTCTATTTAAGCCTTTAGTTCTGTTCAGTGAACATGTATTAAGCATCCATTATGGGCCAGGTATTGTGCTAGGTGTTAGCAACAAAGAAATGAATAGAACAGATGCAATTCCTGCCCTTGGAGAGTTTACAATCCAGTGGGGGCAGAGACATATTAAGCAGGCAATAGGAATAAAATGTGACGACTATTAAGATGGAGGAAGTGCTATGAGTATATATAAGAGAGGAACCTAAGCCAGTCTGGAGCTCAGAAAAGGGCTTCCTAAGAAGGTGACGTCTAAATTGAGACCTGAATAATGGAGTAGGGATTAGACAAATAAGGAGGAGGTGTAGAGAAGAGGAGAGGGTTCAAGCAAAAAGAAAAATACATAATAAAAGCTTCTGAGATGAATCCATAGAATGCTATGGGCACACAAAGCAGGAATATCCTCAAATCCCCCCATCACTCAAACCATCACCTCAATGGTGACCAAATCTGTCTTCAGCCCCAGTCTGCCTCTGGAGCTCCTGAGCACAGGCAGCTGAAACACAACATATCCCAAACCAAACTTATCTACTCCCAAACTCGCTCTTGTATTCTCTTCCTACACAATGGCACCCCATTCACTCAGTTTCCAAGCCAGAAACATGAGAGTCATTCCATGGGATATAAGGGAGATGGTTGTGGGATTAACAGGTATGGAACTCAGATTCCAGAGAGAAATTTGGGCAGGGGTACACATTTGAGAGTCTTTAAACTGGAGTGGTGTTGACATCATGACAACAGATTAGAACACTCAGAGAGAATCTGAGTGAGCAGACAAGAGGGATGCAGAAGAAACACCAACATTTAAGGGATGGCTGAAGAGGAGAATAAACGGACAGAAACAAAGGAGAAAACCACGGGAATTGGTATCACAGACACCAAGGGAAGAGTGGTGTTTTTTTTTTTTGTGATATGGTCTATATGTGCTTCTTTTTCTTTCTTTGTTTTTTTATTGAGGTATAATTGACAGGTAACATTATATTAGTTTCAGGGAAGAGTGTTTTGAGAAGTGGGTTGATTGACAAATGCAACTGGATGGTCATGTATAAGGACCAAGGATGTAGTTACTGGGTTTTGCCATTAGAAAATCATTAATCACCTTGTCAACACCCGCATCAGTGGAGGAGGGTACAGAAGTCAGACTGCAGCGGGTGAAGGAGAAAAGGGAGGTGAGGAAGTGAAGACAGGGAAGCCAAACAACCTTTTCAAGAAGCTTCATCATGAAGGGCAGGAGCTAGGTGCAACATAGACAGGGATTGAATTACAATTTTTAAGGTAGAAGATTTGAGCATATATAAATGCTGATGAAAAAGCTGGTAATGAGGCAAAAATGAAGGCTATAGAGAAAGAATAAAGTCCCTAAGGAGATGGGAGAGGATTCAAGTGCAGGACAGATAGAGGATTAGCCCTGGACAGAAGGAACACCCACTTCAACTATGATGGAAGCAAAAGAGGTTAGGAGTGAGAATGAGGATGTACCAGTAGGTTGGGAAGATAGGAAGTTGAGGGAGTTCTTGACTTTGGGGATGATATATTTTTTTTTTTTGAGGAAGATTAGCCCTGAGCTAACTGCTGCCAATCCTCCTCTTTTTGCTGAGGAAGACCGACCCTGAGCTAAGATCCATGCCCATCTTCCACTACTTTATACATGGGACGCCTACCACAGCATGGTGTGCCAAGCAGTGCCATGTTCGCACCTGGGATCTGAACCGGCGAACCCTGGGCCACTGAAGCGGAAGGTGCGCACTTAACCGCTGCGCCACTGGGCCAGCACCAGGGATGATATTTTGATCACCAGTTGTCCTGTTCTAAAATCTCAGAGAGAATCAAGAGAAGGGCTCCCTCAACAATCGTCGTTCCTTTTTTTCTTTTGAAGATTGTCTATTTTTTTTTCTGTTCAGCAAAGGATACGTGAGTCTAAGCCAGGTGGTCAAGCGCACCAGGAACAAGCTGGCTCCCTGGGAAAACTCCTGCTCCAGTTCAGGGGCAGTCTTGCCTTGGTTGGTTTCAATGAAACTGTCGAGGATGTGACTCCTTGCGACTTTGCCGGCGTTGTCCCAATCTTGTAAAAAACTCAAGAGCCGGCTAATTGCTGCCTGTTCCTTTATAGAGGTCATGGTCAATCAGTTCTGAAGTTGGTTACAGAGGGAGGGAAAACAGACAGGTTACCAAAATATTTAGAACCACGCAAGTCCTGCAGCTTACTCAATGGGTTTTGCTTTTCCAGCAGTCACCTGGAGGCAGGGTGAGCCTCTGTCATCCACACAGATGTAGTGACATTCAAAATACACCTCTAGGACTCAGCACCTGCTGCTCGAACAGGGAGCATCTAGCTGTGTTGTAATGGAATTAAGAATATTAAGGTAATAAATATCTGCTTCACGTTTAAGAGCTAAATGTTACCTCTTTGGCTTCCCTGCTGATGCTAGCAACTAAAAGGACCACAGGTTCTGGCTAAGATGAAGGTGCTTGCTAAAAACCTGGGACTCCCTCGGCCCTCACTTCATATAGAGTCAGAGATTTGGGGTCTTTAGATACCAGGCCCCCTCTTACGCCCATCAGCCAAGGTAACTGCCCCTTCACCTCATACCTTGGGCTTTTATACTAATTCTCTTAAAAACAACTTTTAAAGAAAGTTAGTGGGAAGAACAAGTTCCTATTGTATAGTTGGATTAATGGGCTGTGGTTTGTAGGAGTCTGTGTCCTTGGGAGAGTGTTTTCAGTGGGGGAGGGAGGGTTTAAAATAAACCCGTTTTCCAAAAATAGTTGTGATTGAAAGTGTTATTATCCATAACAAATGTTAGTGCTGATGGGAAAGAGGCATGTGTGATTCCTTTGTCTAACAGACAAGTGAAAGTCATATTTCACATTATCATGGGGTTTTCTGTGATTTACAGAATATTTGTGAAACATTACTTGCAGAGGCCATGATTGATATGGAGAGAACAGCTTGTGTGTAAGGGAGATGTGTATTTCACGAAGACTGTTCAACATGAAATTTACAGTCCCATAAAGTGCTTCTACATCTTTGCCAGAGATCTAGTTAAAAGGACTTTACAGTCTGAAACATCCTAAAATTGATTCTAAATTAACGTTTCCTCACATGTATTTGAGATATTGACGGGGCCCAGCTATCAGAATTTTATTAGGATGCAATAATCTGAGGCATGCTGAGACAGACATACATACACACCAACCTCCACTACTCCCCAGAGGACACTGGAGATGTGCTCCCAGGAAGGGCGTCCACGTAGCCTCGGGGTTGGAGACAACCACAAAATCCTGTCAGCCTTAACAGCCACGTGAATGACTGTGGATCAACCTAAACACAAAAAGGACCAAACTCCTCATGGGATCAAGCATCAATCACAGAATGACATTACAACCCTAAGGCTGTGAATAACTTTCAGAGGCTGTGGCCACCTTCAACAGCCAAACTGGCCTCAAGAAAACGGGGATGAGCAGCTGTTCTAGACCCCAAGGAGGAGGGGTTGAAACACCACCATTCGCTTTACAGGCAGGAAAGCACCCGATCCCCCTGCCCCGCCATGGATGGACCCTTTCTAGCATCAAAACTCAAAGTGCTATCAGAGATGCACCTAGAAATTCTAGGAGACCGAGTGTGGGAAACTTCAGCTGGACACTCCACATTATGGCCCCTGGAAGCTTCTTTGGATCTTGGTTCTCCCCTATCTGCTTCTTGTTTTAACAGGAAAAGAAAACCAACAAATGGCAGCTTTAAAGGTCACAGTGATACAGCCGTAAATCAGTAAATTTGTAGTGAAGGCACACCATGAGGCACTCTGCAAGGTGCTGTGGGAGATGCGGAGGTGAGCACGGCACTGCCAGGGCCCTCGAGGAGCTCCGAATCTTGTGGTAGAGTGGAAGAATATGAGAATTGGAGTCAGACTGGGTTCAAGGCCCAGCTCCCCACTTGCTATTTGCAATCCTCCAGTCTCATTCCAGAGGCAACCACTTTCAACTCTTTTGGCTATTTCTTCTGGTGTTTACCTCCAATATTTCCAAAAAATGAGTTTACAGTACTTGCTATGGGCTGAAGTGTGTCCCTCTCACCTCCAAATTCATATGTCGAAGTCCTAATCCCAGGACCTCAGAATATGGCTGTATTTGGAGGTAGGGTTTTTAAACAGGTAATTAAGTTCAAATGAAGTCATTAGGGTGGGCCCTAATCCAATATAACTGCTATCCTCGTAAGAAGAGCTTAGGCACGGACACATGAAGAGGGAAGGCCATGTGAAGACACCATCTACAAGCCAAGGAGAAACGTCTCGGAAGACGCCAACCCTGGGACACCTTGATCTTGGACGCATGGATCAGAGCCTCCAGAACTGTGAGATAATAAATTTCTGTTCTTTAAGCCACCTGGTCTGTGCCACCTTGCTATGGCAGCCCTAGCAAACTAATACATTACTATTACTTGATTTATCAATTTTAGGCACCATTTATTTCTTATTCTGGCAGTTGAGGAATTAGCTGTCTTGCACGACTCTAACCCCCATTTTTTCTCCCCTTATCTTCATCATATAGTTTTCCACAATTTATGGTTAAATCAATAGTTAGTTTACGTTATTGACCAAGTAAATAAACACTGTTCACCCAAGCTGTAAACTATTATTACATTTTCTTTCCTTACAAGTTGGTTTTACCTGGAGTTAATAATTGTTTCTTTCTTCAATTGTTTAGTTTTCTAAGTACCTAGAGCTATTTTCTTCCGAATGTTCCAAACACATAGCAATGTTTTTTCTAAGTGTTCAACTCCTAACTCAACAGTTCCATCTGGTCTCTGGAGACCTCTGTCCCACAGACCTCTGTCTTTCTGTTCCAGTTTGCACTGGTTGCTCCCTAAGCCTGGTACACCAATGTCGTCCTGGGATTTCCTTTTGCCAGTCTTCTCTGTTGACTGCCCTATTTCCTGGATCCAACTCTTCCTCCTTCTTGGTTTACTCTCTAGTTTTGTTGAAGCACATTCTCCAGTAACCTCCTAAGAAATGAAAATTATTTTTTGTGTGTCCTTGAAAGTCTGAAAGAACTTTGACTTTGTGCTGGATTGCTTGGGGATTGAATTCCATGTTACCAATAAGCTTCCCTGGGATTGAGCTTCCCCAATGCTGCTGTTGAGACTTCTGATGTCATCCTGATTCCTGTGTCTTTCTTTGTCTGTGTCTTGTTTTTTCACTCTTGATACTTTTAAAACCTTTTCTGACACTGTATGATGATATGCCTTGGTGCAGGTCTTTTTCATTTATTACACTAGGCCCTTGGTGGGCTTTTATTATTTTTTTTTCTTTGAGGAAGATTAGCCCTGAGCTAACTACTGCCAATCCTCCTCTTTTTGCTGAGGAAGACTGGCTCTGAGCTAACATCCATGCCCACCTTCCTCTACTTTATATGTGGGATGCCTTCCACAGCATGGCTTTTTGCCAAGCAGTGCCATGTCCGCACCTGGGATCTGAACCTGCGAACCCCGGGCCGCCAAGAAGCAGAATGTGTGAACTTAACTAACCATGGCGCCACCAGGCCGGCCCCCTTTTTTTTTGGTGGGCTCTTTTAATCAGGCGCTGTGGCCTTCAGTTTTTGGAAATTTCATCAGGCCGCAACTAGTCTTTACATTGAAGAACTCATAAATGTCACTCAGTGGAGGGGTTTTTTTTCTTCCTGGGGTCCTCCAGGCGTCTGGAGACTTTTCTACTTCCCCAGGGAGGGTGAAAGGGTGGGAGTGCTAAATGCCTGGCTGCTGGCATTCTGGGGTAGGGTGGGGTGGGGTGGGACAGGGGCTGGGGCCGCCATAATGCGGTGTGTGGACCCTGTCTCCATCACTGTTTTCTACCCTATAGCTCATCCCTGCCTTTCAAACTATGCCTGAGGTCCCTGAGTATGGAGGCCTCCAGAGTCCAATTTCCTTCCTCCTTACACAGCAAGAGAGTTTAGAGCAGCGGTGTGGCTGAGAGAAGAGCTCTGGGATGAGGGCAGAGTGCTCTGCATACAGACTTCAGCCAATCCCCCGATGTTAGCCTCATTCTTCATTCCTGACCTTCCGTAGTAACTTGTGCTTCCAAGCATTAAGCGTCTTAAGAGGTTAAACTGGGTGAACCGACTTGCTTCTTGTTGGTAATCTCCTCTGGTTGGCACTTAGTTTATAATTTCTTAGGGTGCTTCAAGCCAGGTAACATTCCCCACCCTGCCTTCTACCTTCCAAATATTTGTTGAACTTTCATCTGCTGTTGCCTCCTCTGAACTTCTGTGACTTAATCCTTTTTATATTTCTTTAGTGTTCTGTCAGTGAGATTTTGAAAGGTAGCGGGAGATAAAGGGCAGCAGTCGTATTTAATCAAGTCTCCAGCCATTTTTCTTCAAAATAAGATTTGATGAGGATTGCAAAAAAAAAAAAAAGACCCATTAAATACAATTTTTTAAAAAAAGATTGGCACTTGAGCTAACGTCTGTTGCCAATCTTCTTCTTTTTGTTTTTTCTGTTCTTCTCCCCAAAGCCTCCTAGTACATAGTTGTATATTCTAGTTGTAGGTCCTTCTGGCTCTGCTGTGTGGGATACCACCTCAGCATGGCTTGATGAGCGGTGCTAGGTCCACGCCCAGGATCCAAACCGGCAAAACCCTGGGCCGCGGAAGTGGAGCACGCGAACTTAACCACTTGGCCACGAGGCTGGCCCCTAAATACAATTTTAAAAAGAATGAAAAAGATGAAAACAGTGGGAAAAGGAGAGAAATGTATCAAGTTCAAGAGTTAGTTGCTGGGATAAATTCTGTATCTAAGCTTCCTGACTACCAAAATAAGAGAGGAAATGTTATGTGTCTTTCATGGTGAAGGGAGGAGAGAAGGAATGATGGCAGGAGAAGAAACATTTTTCGAGTGTTTATTAAGAGCTAGTCACATATCATGATGTATATTATATGCGTTATTTGTTTTAATCCTCTTACGATCCCAAGGAGGTAGTTAGTATTATCCACAATTTTCAGATGAAAAAAATAAGGTTTAAAAAGGTTTGCTCATTGATTGAAGGTCTCAGAGCAAAAAAGGGGTGGAAATGGAAACTGAACTCAGATTTGTGTACAACTCCAGAGTCCAGGTTCTCTCTTTTCAACCAAAAGCATGGATTCTGCTCTCCACTGTGCCCAAAATGTCACCAATAGCCTCTTGTCAAATTCGGCGGCTAGCTTGCTGTCCCATCTTGCTTGGCCTCTCTGATGGACTTTCGATGACTCTCCTTGCAAGCCTCCTTTTCTGATCCAGCTCTCTCATGGTTCTCCTGACTCTGGATCCCTCAGACTCCTTTACAGGTCCTTTTCCTGTTCTCAGATCTCCTCTTGTGCTTTGTAATCTCCTGGGTGATCTCATTCACTCCCATCACTTCTTATTACGTCTATAGGCTTGATGATCCCAAATCCATATTCTCAGCCTGGACCTCCTGCCTGAGGTCCAGATCCCTATAGTTAAATGCCTAGTGGATGTCTCCCTTGGTATGTTTCACACGCTCTTCAAATCAATAAGTCCCAAACTGAACTCATCAAGCCCTCACATCGCTCCTTCTGTGTTGATCCTATTTCTGTGACTGGGTTATCACTCTTCTAGTCATCCAAGAGCTATCTTTGACGTATTCCTCTCTCTCTGCCCTCCTTATCTGAACTGTTGCCAGATTCTGCCAATTATACCTCCTAAATCTCCCTCAGATCAGTCTATTTATCTTCATCTCCACTGCCACTATTTCATTTACCCCTTCATCCCTCACATGGATTACTGCAAGAGCCTCCTAACTGATCTTCAGATTTACCCCAGACTAATCTCCACAGTGATGTGATATTTTAAAAAAATGCAAATCTGACAGATTTCCCTGCTTAGAACTCTTCAGTTGTTCCCCATTATCCTCAAGATAAAGTTTCAAACATCTCAGCCCAAAGAACTTCCATCTAAATTCTGCCACAACTGAAATCTGACTCCCCCGCCCCTACCCTGTGTCACTGCTTCCAGTGGGAATTAAGAGGAGGCTGCCGGCTTTCCCATACTTCGCAAACCATTCTCTAAATTCCCCACTACTCTTTCTAAATCATTTCCTTTCCTCTGAGGTCAGACCTCCTGTCCTACCCCACTCCATCTTGCCTCAGAGCTCAGGTATTGGCCACACCCTCACGCTCATCAATGACTCTGGCGTCTTCCTGTTTAGCCAAGACCTGCTAGGCAATTTCGACATCAACATGTTCCATCTTTATAATTTGGGTGGCAACTTATTCCATCTTTATAATTAGCATGGTCCTTGGCACATAATGGATGCTCAATAGTGTTGTTTAA